AGAGGGGACAGGGAGGGAGATTAACATCTTCCATCATTCCCACCACCATGTCCGGGGTCTGCCCAGCTTTTCCCCCCACTGGCTGCTTGCACAGCACAGGGCATGACCAGAGCTGGTCTGGGAAGCAGCCTCAGGTATTTCCTGGGCCATCTCTGGCCTTGCCCTTCACGGCACGAGTGGCTAGCTGGGGGGAAAGCTGGGGGGAAAGCTGGGAAGACCCTGGCTGGGGTCCCCATGCCGGTGGGAAAGAGGGGAGACAGGGGAGTTTAATCTCCTTCCCTGGCTCCCTTTGCCATTAGTTACTGCCTGGGGCCAGCTCTGACCACGTGCCCTGCGGTGCAAGCAGCCAGTTGGGCAGACTCCAGCTCGGGTCCCTGGGCTTGTGGGAGAGAGGAGAGACAGGGGGTTTAACCCCTTACCCTCACCCTCACCCTGAGCCTGCTGGCCCACATCCCCCACCCCCTCTACTCCAGTAGGGAAAAGTCTGGCAGGGACTGCCCCACCCCCACCAGGCAGACTGGGGAGTGCCAGCTGGGTTTCCCACCCCCACGTCAGCCAGCCCTCACTGCTGTGGCTAGGGAGCAGAGGGGCAGGGCCAACCCTGCTCTGCTCCAGCAGACAGCACAGCCCAGCCTGCCCAGCCCAGCCCAGCCCAGGGCTGCAAAGCATGCTGGGGACTCTGATTTAACTTGAATCAGGGATGGGTCTGGGACAGAAGTTCCATAAAATGGTTTGACCTAAATCAGTTACATCTACATTGAACCAGGTTTCTCTTAAACTAGTTTCAGCCATTTTGAAACTGGTTTATGTGCACTGAACTTCTATTCTGTTACAGGTTTAAACCAGTTTCTGACAACTTAAACCAGCTTATGTATAACTTCTGTCCCTAGCCTTAAAGTGCTGCCTTTAAAGGCAAGCCAGGGCTTTCACTTCTGCTGTTCTTTGTGTAGCCACAGGGGGTTAGGGTGTGAAGCTCAGTTGGTCATGCACATGGAAGAGCTGCACTCTGAAGAGCAGGACTCGGGACTCTGTGCTGCTTAACCCATTCCCTGCTGGCTTCACAGTGGGCAGTTTGCTTCCTCATTGCTGCAGCGGTAGTGGCAGCAGAAACAGTGGCCACATGGAGGGAAGGGGGAAGAGGAGAAGGGGAAAGCAAGGATGGGACTTTCCTCAGGAGCTACAACTGCCTTGACTTGCAGGAGCCGCTCCACTCCCCAGATATGAATCTGAAGTTGGTCCCTGGTTCCCAGTTCCTTACTCCCAGTTCCCAGTTCCTTTTTTCAGTTGCTCTTTCCACAATTACAAATGGGCTAGCAATCAATGAGACATGGTAAAGAGTTCCATCTTTCATCAAATATGTGTATTTTCTAATAAAAATATTATATTATATCACATATCAAGAACACTGCACTGAATAAGGAGCTGAGGTGTACTGGGATGATGGAGCAAAATCCATCTAGGATCATATCTTTACCACTGGGGGATGTAGCAGGGCACTGGGATGTGCCTGCTCCTTTAGGAGAGCAAGCAGCCTGAGAGGCTGCTTGCAGGTGGCAGAGGGGAGCTAATGATGGACTCACCTAACTGGAAGAGAGGCTGGAGCCCTTCACTGGTCAGTTAAGTCCAGAGCCTGCACTGCTCAGTTAGTCTCTCCCTGTCAACCATGAAGTGAGCAGCTCCTGGCTGCAGGGCTCCTGCAGGGACCTGGATTTAGTTGAACATCACTGGAGCCCTACAATTTGCCCTTAAGGCTACAAGTGTCCTACAGGGCCATAGTCAGCCGAGAGGGACCTATCAGGCCTGAGGGCTGGATTGAGGCTAGTGGAGGCTCGGGAGGATTAAGGCTCACTCTAAGACCTGTGGACAGCCTCTCTTAATCAACCTTTAATATTAAGAATAAGGTGTGGCCGGTGAGCAATCTAGGCAGAGTGACATTAGAGTCTGAGCCAGGCAGGAGCTGCAAGGCCACCAGGGGGAGTCATGGTTACCCCTGTGGTCCTTAACCTGTCACAGGGGACACTGCTGAAGAAGTTTGGGCAGGGCACTGCCCAACCTGAAGCTCAGTTATCAATTGTCATGATTCCAACTGACAGCTCCCCCGGCCTGTCTGCTGTGTACACTGTGCTGAATAAGAAGCTGATCTGGGTTGGGATTTGCAGGAAAATCTGCCTCAAGTCACCCCAAACAACGCATCTCTGATCAGGGGACTTTTCTAGAGAAGCTTGGGTAGGATGCTCCTTATCCAATGCAATGCACATAGCACACAGGTCTGGAGAGCTGTCAGTTGGTATCATGTCACTCAAACCAAGCTTCAGGTCGGACAGCATTCAGGCTCATTCATTGCTAACAAATTTGTAATTGTGGAAAGAGAATTTTAAAAAAAGGAACAGGAAACTGTTCAGAGCAGCCAGCACAAGGGTTGCCAGAAGGTGGAAGGGGGCAGCCCTGGGTGCCCAGGGAAGAGCAAGCAGTACCCTTACCTGGAATAGGGAATGTGTAACATGGTCCATCCTGGTGATGCCCCTCTGAAGCTCCCCTCAGCCTTTGTCACTTTTGCCCAAAGGAAGTTATCTCCCCTTGAACTCCTTGCCATGCCATGATTTAATTGCATTTCTAGAAAAAGGGAGGCTGCTCTAGGTCCCCACAAGCCAGATCTCATACTCCTGAACACAGGGGTCATGCTCATCACCTTAAGAGCTAATTATGTGGCCTTGTCATCTCCTGTTTTAGCCATATACAAGCCTCGCAGATGGGATAGACAAGCCCACCAGTCTTGTCTGTCCCAGTTCAGGTTTTAGTCAGGAGCCCTGATGCAGCCCTTGTGCTTAGGAGCTTCCCTCACTATGGCTTCCAGGTCAGACTGCCTGAAGCACTCGGCTCAGGCCCTGGGCTTATATCTTAAAAGCCCAGCTCCTTTTGAGTCACTTTGATTGGCCTCTGCCTCACCTGCAGCCTGCCTTCCGTTAAAGTAACATGACCACCAAACTGACAGCTACAAATGTTTGAAAGTTCATTAAGGCAGACCCAGGAAATAGAACGATTACACCCTGCTGATTAAGTTACTCACCCAATTGTTTTAAGTTTCTCTATTTGTCCCAAATGATATTTAAGTATTCCATACAAACAGGAATAGTATTGACTGGACAGGCTAAGAGTGTCCCATTTCAGCATATTATAATAGGGTTACCATATGTCCGACTTTTCTTGAACATGTCCTCTTTTTGAGCCCTTTGATTCCCGTCCAGGAGGGTTTTTAAAATCTGACCAGATATCCAAGATTTTGCTTTGCTCTGCTGGTAGGAGCAGGGGGAGGGCAATTACAGGCAGCAGAGAGCACAGATGTATCTGCCTGCAGCTGCGGAGGCATGTGTAGGCCCATGTGGTGCTCCCTGCTGCCTCCAATTGCCCCTCCTCCCCCACTCCCACCAGTGAAGCGAAGTGAAATCCTGGACATTTGGTCAGGGTGGGGACTGGGGCTGTGACAGGGCAGGTGGGAGAAGGGGGATTGCCTGCCCCTCCAGCAGGCAAAAGGGGGCCTCCGAGGGCAGCAGGAAACTCTGTGGCCAGGCTGCTGCCTGTGCTCATAGGAGCAGAGTGGCCAGGAGACGCTTGGGGGGGAGGTGGAAGGGGGCCGTGGCCCATGCAGCATCCCCATCCCAGGGCAAGGGGTCCCACAAGCCCCCCCACCTTCCTTGCAGCCCATGCCAGGGCTAGACATGCTCCACCACCACCTGCATAAATTGAAGCCACCGCGCTCTTGCCTGGTTAAGACAGGGACAGCTGGGATCCCTCTGGCAGGGCAGGGTGGCGGGGAGGAGGAGGAAGGGTGCCTGTGGGTCAGAAGTGAGGGGCACCGACAGGGCTAGGGGGGCAGGGGACGCAGATCAGGAGTGAGGGGCATGGGTTGGGGGGACTATGGGTTGGGCATGCAGGGCACTGGCAGCACCAGGGGGCTGCAGGACACCAGCATGGAAGGGTGGGATGGGGTGGGACAGGACACAGGTACCGTGGTTTGGGAGTGAGCGACACTGGCAGGGCTGGGGTCAGTGGCTTGGGAGTGAGAAGCAGCACCATGGCTGGTGGGAAAGTGGCTTTGGAGGGGGGGGGGA